CCCCAAAACCCCAAAACCCCAAAACCCCAAAACCCCAAAACCCCAACATCTGCTATAACAGGATAGTATATTTTTATTATAAGCAGAAAATGGGCAACTGATTAGACAAATTATTATCAAAAAGGAAGAAAAACAACAGAGATCCAAATCCAGCAGATACTCCACAAATGAAGCAAGGTAATTTTAGTTCGCCTCTCTTGGAAATAGTTCATTGGTTCTTTATGAAAATTTCTTGATGAATTAAGAAGATTAATATTTTAAGACCTTTGATACAGCTTCCCTTCTTTGACAGTTTCCTTATAGATCAGATAGTGAACCAAAAGCAAGTCTATGTGCAACAAGAATTTTCAAGCTATTCTGAAGAAGGTAAAATAGTGCCAGCTATAACATCAAAAATTTGCAGTAAAACTTTAACAAATATTGTTGATCTAATTCTTCCTCTTCTTATTCACATACTATAGAAGAGTTTGAGGAGGAATGCTCCAAAGATGCATTGTACGAAGATATTGAAAAACAAGTCCAAATAGAAGGTAATCTCACTACTTCTGACAAAATATCAGAGATCAAAGTTTCGATCCAAGAAGATAGCAAAATGAAGCGGAAAAGTTACAGGTATATGCTTGATGTTCCATTGTTAATCTATAGACAACATACGGCTAAACCTCCTCGAAGAAGTGAGAGCATGGACAGTAGCCTCCAGAGTAAGCTCTTTTGCCTCTTTTTTACAATTACCTTGGCCTAAATCGATCTTAGATGAAATGTGCCCCTCAGAAAGATCTAGCAAGGCCAAACGAGTGTTTAAACCTCTCAATAAGAGAAAGAACAACTCGACTGTGAAGAAATCAGATAATTATTTTACTAAAGACCAGCAGCTGTTATATGCTACAAAGAAAGAGCTTGACTCAACTCCTTCAATCGATAAGCCAAAGATTATAGAATGGAAAATTATGAAGCAGATTGGCCAAGGCTCATTCGGAAAAGTATATTATGTATTTGACTCATAAAACACTGGACGCCCTCTTGCTATGAAGCAGCTATCTCTACCAGAGATGCCCAAAGTTGGAGAAGTGGACAACAGAAGGGCAGAACTTATTAGGCAAAATGCTACAAAGAGACTTAAGGAGTTCCAGCTTGAACTTGACTGCCTTAGTAAACTAAATCATGACAAAATGTAACTTCCTGATGACTTTTATAGAGTCGATTACTTTGGATACCAGAAAGAAACAAATGTTCTGAATATATTTCTGGAGTATTTTGGAGAGGGATCTTTAGAATCCTTGCTGAACTTATACGGAAAGCTCAGAGAACCCGTCATTTGTAATTCCTTACCTTCAAATTAGCTTAGAGTAGTTTAAATCAAGCTGAAGAATTATCAAAATTTATATAGATTTTAATACACAGGAATTCCTGGTTGGTTTCAGACCTGAAAATTAGATTTTGAAACAATTTTAGAGAGTTTTGGTGATAATTTAAAAATGTATCTTAAATTAATTTCCCTTCTCTTATCTTACTAAATCTAGCAAACTATACCAAACAGATTCTGCAAGGGTTGGAATACCTCCACTCGAACAATATTATCCACAGAGATATCAAAGCTGGGAATATTCTGGTCAAACAAGGCATCTGAAAGCTTACTGATTTCGGAGCCTCTAAAGAAATTTATGAGAAAATGGGAAAGGTAACATCCCAAATTCATGTATAGCAAATCGACTCTTTTAAGGGCACACCTTACTGGATGGCTCCAGAGGTAATAACACAGAAGGGGTATGGTCGATTCGCTGACATCTGGAGTCTTGGATGAACAGTTTTTGAAATGCTCACAGGAGCACCTCCTTGGTCAGAGCAAAATCAATACGCAGTTCTTTTTCAAATAGCCAACGAGTCAAGAGCCCCTGATTACCCTGATGATATCTCTGATGAACTTAGAGATTTTATGGATTGCTGCTTTAAAAAGGAGCCAACTGAAAGATGTAATATTTATGAGCTTCTACATCACCCGTTCATTTTACAGGAAGAATGAGATGTCGAAGACTATAACATCCTTTCCAATGGCCTTACAATAGCTGATGATCGCTGGCTTCAGGAGTCTCAAAATGAACTTAAAGAGAGACACAAAAATCCTCCAAAAGCTATAGAACTGCTAAATAATTGTCGAAGAGGTACTTTTCAGCGAATGCAGACAAAGCCATTGCTTCCTTCTCAGAAGATAGGAGTAAAAATGAGCATGAAACAGCTTGAAGCTCTGTATAAGCTAATTCAGTTGAGAAAGTAAGTTTTCAGAGCTTAAATCTCTCGTTAAGATTATGAAATAAATTCTTGAAAATCACTAAAATAGACTGATGACAAGAATATATAGGGATTATTAGCTGACTTAGTCTTAGATTCTCTGATAGAAACTTTTCTTAACTTCTTAATGATTGACCTCTACTTAATCATGAACCAGTTACCACGAGAAGAGATCAAAAGTATAGGTCAAATGTACGAGGAGATGACTCAGAAGAAGAACCTCCCTTGAAAGTCTCCAGATATAACACCTCAAAAGAGTTCTTTTGGGAATCTGATGGGAATCAGGAGGAAGAAAAGGCAGCTTTCTAGCAAACTTATCCCATCTCGAATGGGAGATATCCAAGAAGGTATTCCTACTAGTTTTAGTTCTAGAATCTGAGGATTGTGGTACACCAACTCCTGGTAAACTTCAGATGGAGAACTACACCTTCTGTGAGGGTAGTAAGAGCATAAACTCACAATATAGGCATGCCTAATATTTCAAAGAAAACTTCACAGTCCAACCTTGCTGGAGGAGATGCTAGATTACCCAAAACAGACAGCCTCAACGAATCCTACTTTGATAAAACCTCTGAGTGCGAAGGTAGTCGTTCCTATAAAGTTGTAGGCGAAAACATCCAGATCAAGTCGAGTGTTCCAGAAGAACTAGAGGCAGAACGGAAGAAAATTGAAGAACAGATCAAGATAATTGTAAGTCTTGATGGATTATTTTCATAGTCAAGTAAAAGAATTCCGAATTTATAAAGGCTATTTCCCATCAATATCTAAGAGATCTTACGGGGTTTTGGGGTTTTGGGGTTTTGGGGTTTTGGGGTTTTGGGG